CGTCTGTCTGATGTGTGTGTGTGTGTGTGTGTGTTTGACAGGTGTGTGATCTGGCCCATGCGCTCAGAGATGGAGTGTTACTCTGTCAGCTGCTCAATAACCTGCTGCCGCAGTCGGTCAACCTGCGTCAGATTAACCTGCGACCCCAGATGTCTCAGGTACAGAGAGAGAGAGTATCTGTGTGATATGGAAATCACCTGATTACCATCACCAGCTGCTGATCTTAATGGCAAATGAGTGTGTGTGTGTGTGTTAATATACAGAGACCACTTACAAAGTTAGATTAGGGGCCCTATCACACACCCGGCGCAATGCGGCGCAAGGCACGGCGCAAGTGTTGCTAGTTTTAGCCCGACGCAGTTCTTATTTTCCCGTCCTGCGCCGCGTTGTTTAAATAGCAAATGCATTTGTGCCCATTTGTGCGCTCATGGGCGTGCTAGTCTAAAAAAGAGGTGTGTTCAGGTGCATTGTCGGCGCGTTGCTACTTTGAGGAACTGAAAATAGATTGAGCCATAGACCAACTCCTACCTGGTCTAAAGTCTGGCGCAATATTTTTTCTTTGTTATTTAAAGAGTGTTAGTAATATGCGCCTAAGGGGGGGGTTCACAACGCACGTACACTTTGCTTATTACATATACAGGGACGCACAGCAGCACACAAACATTTTTAAAAATGAAAATTTACATTCCACCATGTAAATAGCGAACCCGCCATGGCGCGAGCGCAACTGGCTTTTAAAGGGGATGGGAGATGATGGAATGACTCTGATTGGTTTATTGCACGTTACGCCCAAAAAACACCCATTACTCATTAAGAGATTAGGGACAACCCGTTTAGAGAAAATACACACACACACTCTCACACACACACGCCCGCAGCACAAGGCTGTGACTCAGGAAGTGCTTTAAATGCAGATGTAGATGCTGTTTCTGCATTTGCTCGGTGTCACACACATACAGTTTTGCTATGACTGTCTGTAACACGTATATTAACTGTAGACAGTCTGACATATACTGAGAAAGGTAAACTCACAATATATGAAACAAAATCTATCTATCTCTGTCTTTTTCTCTGTCATTCGCAGTGCTGGGTAATAACTGATTACATGTAATCTGGAATATGTAATCAGATTCCAAAAATTAAGTACTTGTAATTAGATGAAATTACAATTTAAAATACTTGTAATCAGACTAGATTACATGATTACACATTATTTACACAATGGCAGTAAATTATTCATAATGTACTGATTTGCCCTTATTCTTCTTTTTTGTTTGTTAAATTTTCCTTTCTATTGCTTAAAGTGGATTCGGACACGCCCTGAGTGCACCTGCGCTGTGTGCTTTAGACCGTGTGCTTAGATCGTTAAAATAGGGCCCTAGACATACAGAGAGAATGTAGATCAACATCCATAACAGGGTACAAATTACAGACTGAGAACTGAAGAGTAATACTCAGAGAAAAAATGTGTTTTAAGAGGTTTTTGAAGGAGAGAAGGGAGGATGCTTGACGGATGTTTTGGGGAAGAGCATTCCACAATCTGGGAGCCACAAAACTGAAAGCCCTAGCTCCCATAGTTGCCAGACGAAACTTAGGGGTGACTAACAATCCCTCGCTAGAAGATCGTAAGGATGGGAGATGAGACTCTGGGATGATCAGATTCCAAAAATTAAGTACTTGTAATTAGATGAAATTACAATTTAAAATACTTGTAATCAGACTAGATTACATGATTACACATTATTTACACAATGGCAGTAAATTATTCATAATGTACTGATTTGCCCTTATTCTTCTTTTTTGTTTGTTAAATTTTCCTTTCTATTGCTTATATACATTCACAAAGTCTTTCAGTTTTATGGAACGGCACATTACTAATTACAATTGCCATTGTGTAATTTCTAATCAGTAATGGACTACAATTTTTTAAGTAATCTACCCAGCACTGATCATTCATTACATTTATCTATCTATCTATGTATCTATCTATCTATCTATTAGGGCTGCACGATTATGACAAAAACCATAATTGTCGATTATTCCCTTGAAATTGTAATTGCGATTATTAATTACGATTATCACAATTTACATTTAATGATGTTTATACCATTGTTTGAAGAAACTGCATGCCGTATTTTTATATGAAAATAAACAAGCTGAAAACACTCAAAGAGAAAAACCTTTAGTGCTTTTCTATAGCATTAAGGCTCAAATGTCAACTGTACATTGGATTGGTTGTTTTGGGGAAGAGCATTCCACAATCTGGGAGCCACAAAACTGAAAGCCCTAGCTCCCATAGTTGCCAGACGAAACTTAGGGGTGACTAACAATCCCTCGCTAGAAGATCGTAAGGATGGGAGATGAGACTCTGGGATGGGACAACCCATTTAGACCATGTGCCCGGGCGCGCCGACCGTTTTCAACAAAAGGCAGGAGTAAGTCAGATAAATATGTAGGATCAAGGTTATGGAGAGCTTTATAAGTGATAATTAGTATCTTGTAGTTTATGCGCAAGGAAACCGGAAGCCAATGAAGGTGATAGAGGATTGGGGTAATGTGATCGCTCTT